TCTAGCTTTGATACCACTTGTTGTTTCTTTGAAGACTAGGAAAGAAAATTCTTGAACCGATTTGAAAACAATACCTTGAAGTACTTTTTACTTTTTCACATCATCTCTCCAATCACTGTCTATATACCCTACAAGTTTACAAGAACCGGTAGGTGAATAAAAAATACTGTCACTCTGGTTATCTTTGAAATTCCTCAAAATCCTTTTAGCTGCCTGCAAGTGAAATTGACATGGAGACTCCATGTATTTTTTGATAAGGCTAACTCCAAAAACAATATCAAGTATAGTGGAAGTCATATAATGTAAACTTCTCACCAACCGTTTGAAATATGTGGGATTCACCAACTCACAATTCCTATTTTTTTCCAATTTCAATCTTTCTTCAACCGAAGTCAAAATAGGATTGCAAGAATCTATTCTGAATCATTTAAGGATATTCCTAGCATACTGTTATTGGGGAATAAATCCCATAGTCTCTCTAATTTACCTCAATCTTAAGAAAATAAGACATCAAACCCACATCGGTCATCTCAAATTGAGAAATCATTGCCTCTGTGAATTTCTCAATTAACTTCAGATTATTCCCTATGAAAATAAGATCATTCATATATAAACACACAATAATAAATCTCTTTGGAAATTAGTTTTGACATACAAAGTGTGTTCATAGGAATATCTCTAAAAACTATTCTCAACTAAATAAGAATTAATTCGGGTGTACCAAGCTCTAGGGGCTTGTTTAAGTCTATACAGTCTTTTTCATCAAGGACTCTATTCAAGAAAGCAAATTTTACATCCATTTGAAATATTTTCCAATAATTATTGGCAGTAAGAGAAATTATTATCCGAATAGTATCAAATTTAGCAACAGGAGTAGAAACCTTAAGATAATTAATACCTGACTTTTGCTTGTAACCCTTGGCTATAAACATTGTAGACCCATTTAACTCCAATAGTCTTCTTTCCATCGGGAAGAGATATAAGCTCCAATGTATTATTTTCTTCAATGGCATGAATATTTTCATCCATCGTTTTCATCCAATATTTCTCCATGCACATCATTAAAAGAAATGGGATCACAATCTACATATAAAGCAAAATTTATCAAGTCCTCATCTGAAAGATTATTATTAGTGCTAATCACATAATCCTCCAATCTAGCTGGCAAATGTCGTTCATGCCGTGAACGTCTGGATGACTCTAGCTGCGAGAATTGAATTCCTGGGGTCTGTCCAATTGATTGATTACCAATTGAATCATCAACATCAAAAGAAACAAGTGTGGCTGACTCGTCTTACTTTCGGGACCAATTCCAAATACCCTGCTCATCAAAAATTGCATCCATGTTAATAATCACTTCGCCAATAATATGATTGAAAAGCTTATACCCCTTTTGTAACAGAACTGTACCTAATAAAAATACACTTTAACTTTATTCTCAAGTTTTTTTTGGAGTGGATCAGCGACATGGGTATAGGTAGTAAACCAAACACCGTCAAATGCTGAATATCAGGCTTCTGACCACTCCAAATCTCATTGAGAGTTTTTCCTAGAAAACTTTTGTTAGGGACATGCTCAAAGCATATATAGATTATTGTCTTACTATTTTATTAAGGACATTTTTATGGAATGAATGGGATAGGGTCAACTTTTACTCTGCTAATTTTGAAAGGATAAAAAAAAATTTAATGCTTCTTTATTGATTGGTCTATTTTAGAAAAGATAAAAAACCATCACAATCAGGGACGAAGTTAGGATTTTATACTTGGGGGGCAAAACTCTATCACGTAAACTCACACAAACAAATTTCAAATTTCTACCTGTCTATAGATTAATGTCTTTCTATTTATTAAGGACATATTTTATGGAATGAATGGGATTATGAAGGGATAAAAAAAATGTTTTAATGCCTCTGTATTGATTGGTCTGTTTAAGAAAGGATACAAAACTATCTTTTACTCTTCTTGCAGGACAAGTTAACCAGACTATACCATATGTAGAGATTATCCCAAATTTTGGGCCACCAAGGTCATGCATGAGCTGTCCTTGCCCCTGAGAACACCTTGGCAATCATGTACGCTCGATCATTTAATATTTTGGGGAAGAGTATGTCCCACTGAAAACTCGTCCATTTTTTTGGTTTAATTCTTGTTGTGAAATAATTATTTACTAGCGATAATCCGTCATATTTGTGTTTTTAGGATTAATTGTAAGTACCATAAAAATGATTAAAAAAATTAAAAAGTGATAAAAAAAAATACCTAAAAAATTGTAAATCATCCGCAAAAATTTATAATTTTTTTTTTATAAAATAATTTTTAAAAATTGTAAAAAGATCTAATAAAATAATAAATTTTGAAATTATTTTAACAAATTTTTTTTTAAATACCATAATCAAGTCGGTCGCTTTAAAGAAAAATCGAAAGGCATACCATCTACTTTGCAAGTGGTTGTAGTACTTGAATTGTTGTTATGTCGTATCTGTACTACGAAACAAACACAACGTAGGCGGCACAACACAAACAGACAAGCATTGAGGATAAAAGCATGTTTATACCGTTGGAGTATAGCATGGTAATTTTATCTTCTATTTCTATTTTTTGTCATTTTGGTAAATGTATGAATCATTAGTATGTCTTAGATCAGATTCAAACAGAATTCAGAACCATCTATTAAATCGAATCCTTGTAAGGATAAGACCATGATTATATACCCAAATGATAGAATTTGGTTGATCATCTTCATTCCCTGGATGCAATCTTGCTTCAATGTAGTAAACCTATAAGAAAATCCACGATCTGCTGGTTTTCCGGGGTGGTGGTCATGACAAAGTGTTCTTATGGGTGGAATTGTGGTCTCATCACGTGCTCGTAAGATTATACCAGGGTCGAAATGTATCAAATAATAGTCGATCGCCAAGACCACTATGGTTCGTCACAAGCATCCAAGATTTTTAGGGGGATTATATGACAATATACATTAGTTCATTATCTTTATGGTTTCTTGAAGAATTTGTTGTAGATATCAAGTGAAATTCAAATATTTTACACTCCAAAGAATCGTCAACTTTTTTGCTGACATGTTTTGACAAGCTTTCCGGCCTATTCATTTTGTGTTATCCTCGACAGATTTTTATGCACGTTTGTTTAGCCTTATTGTCCTAATGAATTTTTTAATCAATAAAATCACCTTTTTGTTTCACACTATAGAATTTTTGTAATAAATATCAATTATTTCTTCTCCTTCAAATAAGTTGATTATTTATTTCCTCATCGGGTCGTACACGCACAGTGCACAAATTGAAATGAAATTAGTCAAAAAAAAATGCACAAGAAATTGGATATTACAAAAACAAACTGCAAATTATATATTACCGCAGAATGCAATGTGGGTCCAAAAATGGCCACATACATTGACTTTATTGACATTTAAACCACAACCAACTAGATTCACTTCTTGACTTTTATTGTTTGACATTCACAACAAAATGAGTGCCAAATTTGACAACCATGAAGAAAAAAACACAAGAACTCAAATGTTCATACAACCACAGGAATCATACTCCCAAAGGAAATCACAGAACAGGAATCACAAGGATCAAACTAGGCTGCCGGCTTGAGGGTGTTTCCTATGTCGATAACAAATCGGAATTGAACTTTGTTTTCCAAAAAGACGTTCCATTACTTTGTTCACATCTTGTATAGAAATAAGCTCGATATCTGATTTTATGTTATGTTTTACTGCAAATTCAAGCATCTTTTCTGTTTCCTTCATACCCCCAATAATACTTCCAGCAATCATCTTTTGCTCTGTCACTCCATATTCCATGTTAACTATAAGAATAGTGGGATGGAGATGCATATGACTGTAATTAAAATTAGTTATTGATGGGACTTTTCTGAAAAATCTCTATGATGAAGACACGTGTCCTCGGTTTTACTAAAGCACTGTTGCTAAGATCAAGCACCATCGGCGCATATGCTCCTCGCCCCCGAGGTACCGACATATAGGATCATACATTCAGTATATTTTTCAACCGACACGTGGCCTCGGCCTGATATGTACCTCGGTCGGCATACCTCCCTCGGTCTCCGAGAGGAGCCTTTCCTCGGTGCCGAGAGGTACCCCCTCCTGGACGCTTCCTCTACTCCAGGATAAGCTATTGACGTGTAGGTCATTAGCCTAGGCTAGTCTAGGCTATTCATCATGACCTCGTCTTACACAAGTAATGTCAGAACGTACTGGAATACAGAGGTCACAAGCAATAGGGGATGGACGCGTGGCATATGATATCACATCAGAGACAGACAAACCGCATGCCGTTGCTGACACGCGACTTGGGAAAGCAAACAATTAATTGCATCATTCCCTTGATGAGACCGCATTCAATGCGGTAAGGCTCGGAAATGAAAGGCAATAAATGCTCCTATTACAGAGCATTTATTGCATCTTCCCCGAGAGGAGCACATTGTACCGTCGGCATCCCGACGACCCAGCATTGATTGCTTGGGACCCCGAGCAGTTAATTAGAGAAGACATTCCTCATCAGAATCAAATGTACACGCTACCTGTGCCTAATGATCACCTACTGACCACACTGACAGCAATCATGAGCTTTTAAGGTATAAATACTCCTCCCAAAAGGCAAAGCGGGGATGCAACAACAAACTCTCTATTACAACACACTCAGTGTTTTCTCTATCCTCTCTCTATCTCTCAAAGACTGACTAGGCCGTCGGAGGGGATACGCCGAAAAACACTCCGGCGCCCTTCTAACTTGTTCTTCTTTGTTTCAGGAACCTCTTCCAGCCTTACAAGACCGTCACTCCTTTCCCAGGGTCTCCCGTTGTCGTTCCGGGTTACCACCGTACCGTGCAGGCTGTCCCAAGCAGCGTGTTTGGTCACTCCACCGGCTCACCCGAAGTTCACCAGGGGAGAGATTTGTTCTCGTTTTTTATATTGTGCAAGATTTTGCACGCACAGTTATGTTGAATACTTACGAAGAAGCACAGGAATGGTATGCATCTCAGCTGGCTTCTCAGGTTCACAGACCATAATAAGTTTCCCATGAGACTTCAGTATTTTGATCAATGGCATGATAGGGTGAGGTTCAGGGGCTGTATCAATAATACCATCCAAAGTACCTATTGCAGCCTGCTCATATAAAGCACAACCATGTGAGAACTAGTAAAATTTTAGTTATTTTTTCATATACATTAGTAGATCTGGTACTATTACTTGGAATAATGCACATGGGCGGAGCTATATTTATATATTCTAAATATTATACATATATTTTTTTATTTATATCCACCTTGTAATTTTATTTTAATTATTAAGTTTTTTTTTATTTTATTAAGACTTTTTCCAGATGACCTTAATTTTATTATTCATGAATTTTTGCAAGTAAAATTTCTTGACCTTCATTTGATTTTTATTTTTTCTACAAGAAATTGTATTTATTATTATTTGATTGTTGATTATAGTGTTAATTATGTGTCAATCGATTTATAATTTTTTTACTATGTTTTTTTCTTAATTTTTAATTTTGTAATTCTACTATGCTAATATCTCAGTGATACTGTTTGGAACGCCATTTATCAAATAAATTTAATGAGTTATTTTTGAATAACTCATATTTTTTAATTACAAAAATGACAATTAGGTCAACTTTTTTTTTTTACAATCGTGATAATTTGTCATTTTTTTATACATATATAATATATATTATTTTTTACTTTTTTTTTATGTTAAATAGATTTCATGTATCAAATATGATATAATAAAATATAAATATATTATATATTATATAGTGCGATCAGTTAGGTGAAAAAAATTATACAATTTTTACTCTAAACAGAATTCATGGTTCGATCTCTGATAAGGTATTTATAGTAAACGACAAAGAAGCCCGAAATAGGGCGCAATAAAACTCCGAAAAATAGGGGCATCAGAAATCAAGGCTAATTGACTTATTGACCTTTCAATTGTGAAAAAATATTTTAAAAAAAAAAGAAAGAAAGGTGATCAACTCAGCAAACCCAATTGGTTAATCATAGGAGTTTTTATAAGTAAATGACGACAGTAAGATTTTAACTAACACTTTTACCTCCATCAGTGAACATTTTAATGAGACAAAAAAATTTATTGAGACAAAAAATGTAAGCAAAACTACAACATCAGTAAAAATTTTATAATAGTAGTGAGCAAAATTGGCATAGTAGTGGGCAAAACTACCATAGTAATAGATGAAATTACAACTTCACTGAATAAATTACAACCATAAATAAGAAATGTCTTGGGCAGCATCGCTTTTCTCTACTCTTATATTGGTTAAAGTTACGACATATGTGGCTAATATTATAAACTTCAAGAAAAAATGTACATCAGTTGTGATGTCTATACTCTAAAGGCCGGTAAATTCATCCAAAATACTAGTAACATTACCCAAAATTGTCATAATATCATACCTAACCATGGTAACGTTATCTCAAATGGTAGTAACATTACCTGATAATAGTAAATTCACTTTAAATCATGGTAAATTCACCCACATTGTTGTAATATCATCCCAAATGATGGTATTTTTTATCCAATTGACATTCAGTTCATCATATTAACATTCAAATTAACATTGAATTCATCCAATTAATATTTAAATTTATTAAATTAATATTCAATTTCATCAAATTAGTATTCAATTCATTCAAGTAATATTCAAATTCATCCAATTAACACTCAATTCATCAAGTCAACACCAAAATACCATGCAATTTCATTCAACAAATATTTAATTCATCAAATTGACATAAAATTAACATACAAATTCATCTAATTAGCATGTAGTTCATTCAATTAATATTCAATTTTATTCAATCAACATTCAATTTATTGAATTAATATTCAATTACATTTCATTAATAATTTCTTGCCAAAAAATATTTAATTAACCAAATTAACATTCAAATTCAATTTTTTAATATTAAATTTATTAAATTAATATTTAGTTTCAATAGATTAATATTCAATTCATCAAATTAACATTCAACTAATCAAATTTATATTTATACTCCTCTAATTAACAGTCAATTCATCAAATTAACATCCAAAATAACCAATAAATATTTAATTAATTAAATTAATATCCAAAATTATCCAATTAGTATTCAATTCATCCAAAAAATATTCTTTTTATCAAATGAACAATAAAAAAAATTTTAATTGTTCAAATTAACATTAAATTTTATTTAGTTAGCATCCAATTCATTATATTAACAAAAAATTAATATTCAATTCATCAAATTAACATTAAAATTCAATTAGTTGACATTAAATTCATTAAACTAACATCAATCCAATTAATATTCAATTCATCACATTAACATAAAATTAACAATCAATTTGTAAAAAATAATTAAATTTTATCTAATTAATATTTAATTTATAAAATTAACATCTAAATTCATCAAATTAACATTCAATTCATAAAATTAACAAAATAATTTCATTTCATTAACATCACATCCAAATTTATATTTAGTTTCATCAAATTAACAATTCATTTCAGATTATTAACATTGAATTTCATTAATTTAAAATTTTATTTCATGAAATTAACACTAAATTTATCTTTAATTTCATCCTGTTAAGATTCAAAATCATCAATTAAAAATTTAATTTCATTGAATTAAAATGAAATTGACCATTTGTTTAGCTTATTAATATTTAATTTTATCAATTTGACATTCTATTGCATTTATACATTTAATTTCATCTAATTGATATAAAAGTTACTTTCAATTTTACCAAACTATTATTAAAATTCATCAATTCAAAATTTTAATATGATCAAATTAAATGAATTGGCCTTCAATTTCATTTTCTAAAATTTAATTTCATCAATTTAATACAAAATGGATATCTAATTTCATCAAACTAACATTTGAAGTATTACATTTCATCAAACTAAACATTCAATTTCACCAAATTCACATTGAATTCGTCCAATTAACAAAGAATTTACTAGCAACTGAGATTCGATCCATTAAATTAACATTTGATTCATCAATTTAAAATTAATTTTTCATTATATTAAATACCAAATTAAACACCAAATTGACAGTCAGTTTTATCAAATTACCATTAAATTTTATTTAATTGACATACAATTCATCAAAGAAATACAAATTAACACTAGATTTCATCAACTGAAAATTTAATTTCATCAAATTAATTCCAAATTCACCAATTTGTTTTTTCAAATTAACATTAAAATTCATGAATGTAACATTTAATTTCATTTAACTGAGATCCAATTCATCAAATCAACACCAAAATAACATTAAATTTTATCACATTAGCATCAAATTTACCTTCAATTTTATTTATTAAAATTCAATTTAACTAAATTAACATTGGCATTAAAATTCATAAAATGAACATTAGATTTAAATTAACATTTACATTAAATTTTTTGAATTGAACATCAAGTTTTATTTGATTGGGATCCAATTCATCAAACAAATGCGAAATTAACAACCAATTTCTTCAATTCAAATTTAATTTCATTAAATTAACTGTCAAATTTATCAAATTATCATTAAATTCATGAATTGAACATTTAATTTTATCCAATAGAGATCAAATTCAGTAATTCAACACTAAATTAACATTTGATTTATCAATTCAAAAGTCAATTTCATCAAATTAACAACAAATTTGCATTCTATTTTATTTATTTCAAATCATTTCACCAAATTAACCCTAAATTGGCCGTTGATGTTACCATATTAATATTTAGTTTCAACCAATTAATATTTACTACATCAAACTAACACCAAAGTAACTTTCAATTCATCTAATTAATATTTAGTTTATCAAATTAACACTAATTTAACATTTAATTCATCCAATTAACGTTTAATTTATCAAATAAATTTCATAATATTCCAATAAACATTCAATTCATCAAATCAACACCAAAGTAACATGCAATTTCATTCGATTGACATTTCTTTTTTTTTTTTTGAAATAAAACGAGCATCTTAATTGTATTAGAAATTAAAATAAAATTGAAGAGGAGCATATTAATTTGATTAAAGCGACATTTATTTGGTGTTAATTTGAAGAATTTGATGAAATTAAATATTAAATTCATGAATATTAATGCTCATTTAATAAAATTGATGATCAATTTGATGCTAATTTGATGAAATAAATTTTAATAATTAAAATTGTTGGTGAATTTGGTTTTAATTTGATGAAATTGACTTTTTAATTAATGAAATCGAATATAAATTTAGTGTTGATTAATAAATTGGATATCAGCTAGATAAAATTTAATGTTAAATTCATGAATAATGAATCGACTAAATCGAAGGTTAATTTGGTATTGATTTAATGAATTGGATCTAAATTGGATGTTAAAATCTAATTTTAAATTCATGAATCTTAATGTTCATTGGATCAAATTGACAGTCAATTTAATATTAATTTGATGTAATGATTTTTAAAATGATGAAATCGAATGTTAATTTGATGTTGATTTAATAAATTTGATTGCAATTGGATGAAATTTAATGTTGAATTCATGAATGTTAATGTTAATTTGATAAAATTGACGGTCAATTTGGTATTTAATTTGATGAAATGGATTTTAATAAATACAATTAAAGGTTAATTTGATGTTAATTTGATAAACTTTAATTTTAATTTTATTGTTAATTTGATAAACTTATCTATAAATTAGATGTTAATTTTATGAAACTGAATTTTAATAAATAAAATTGAAGGAAGATTACCACCATTGTGGGTGAAGATACCACAGTTGTTGACATATTTACATGTGCATTCTAGAATTTACAATTTTTTTGGTAATTATTATGACAGTTATAGATAAAATTATGGTGACCAAAAGTAAATTTAGGACAAATTTGGGTTAAGTTAAAACTATTGTGGATGAAATTACCACAATTGAGGTAACGTTACAACATGTAACAAAAATTGTACTATAGTTTAGGGTTTATTTATAGCTATTATGAATAAAGTTACTAGTTTCTAGGAAAATTTTAATTGTAATTTGAGATGAATTTATAACAAATGTGGTTAAAGGTTCTTATCAGAACTTATACCACCACAATGGTTCCATTTACAAT